AAAGGTACATGGCAAGCCAGTGGATGTCCTTAGAGACAGTGGCTGTTCTGGCGTAATGGTGAGGAGGTCAAAGGTAGAGGATGAATGGTTGTCCTCAGAAACACAATCTTGTAAGTTGGCTGATAGTAGTGTCCTAATACTTCCCGTAGCATGGATTACCGTGGACACACCCTTTTATACAGGAAAGGTAAGAGCTGCATGTATGGACACACCACTCTGTGACCTGATATTAGGCAATATTCCAGGAGTGAGAGAACCAAGCGATCCAGATCAGATGTGGGATAAGGATGATATCCAGATGGTAAGTGCTGTGGAAACAAGAGGCCAAAGAAGAGTAAGACAAGAAGGCATGAAACCACTGAAGGCACTGAAACCTGTGGGGCTGACATTGAGTCAAGGTGAGTTCATTACCCAGCAACAACAGGATTCCAGTTTGGCAAAAGTCAGGAAATTAGTGGAGGAAGGGAAAATTAGGGAGACCAGGCATAGTACTTCCTCTTACTATATTGAGAATGATATAGGAAGCATACCTTCACCAAGTTTGACAAGGGTAAGCAAGTTCTACAGGCAGTTGTACCAGTAGAGCTGCGTACCCAAGTGATGAAAGTAAGCCATGAAGCATTGATGGGAGGGCACCTTGGAATCAAAAAGACTTTAGATCGGGTTATGTCTCAGTTTTATTGGCCAGGAATAATGGGTGATGTTAGAAGACATGTGCTGTCCTGTGATATTTGTCAACGCACAACCTCCAAGGGCAAGGTAAGAAGAATACCACTAGGACAAATGCCATTAATTGAAGTACCATTTGAGAGAATAGCCGTTGACCTGATAGGCCCGTTGTATCCTGTCACTGACAAAGGTAATAGGTATCTTTTGACGGTAGTTGACTATGCCACCAGATACCCAGAGGCAGTACCTTTGCCAAGGATTGAAACTGAGTATGTTGCTGAAGCTCTTTTCGAAATATTCAGTAGAGTAGGTATCCCCAAGGAGATCTTGACGGACATGGGAGCCCAGTTCACTTCAGGTGTAATGAAGGAGGTAAGTAGATTATTATCCTTGCATCAGCTAACTACTACCCCATATCATCCAATGTGTAACGGCCTTGTGGAAAAATTCAACACTACTCTGAAGACAATGTTGAAACGAATGTGTGCAGAACGGCCATATGACTGGGACAGGTATGTAGCTGCTTTGTTATTTGCATACCGAGAAGTACCTCAAGAGAGTTTGGGATTTGCTCCCTTTGAACTACTGTACGGGCGTACAGTGAGAGGGCCAGTGCAGATTCTCAGAGAAATCTGGACTAAAGACATACAAAATCCTGAGGTAAGAACTACTTATGAGTATGTGTTAGATTTGCAAAACCAACTGGAAGACACTATTCATATAGCACAACAAGAACTAAAAAAGAAATCAGGTAAGTACAAAAAGTTCTTTGATGCAAAATCACAAGCACGAAAAATGAAAGTAGGTGACAAAGTGTTACTTCTGTTACCTACTGATTCTAACAAACTCCTACTCCAGTGGAAAGGACCATATGAAATCTTGGAGGCCTTTGGTATTGGCAATTACAGGATACAGGTAGGTAATAAGACTAAAACCTATCATGCAAACCTACTAAAAAAAGGACATTGACCGAGAGGAGATGAAGGACACAACTGTATGTGACTTCAGCATAGCTCACCTCATGTATGCTAGTGCCGGGCTAGTAGATGTCAAAGCGGAAGAGGTAAGTATGTTAGACATTGTTTCACCTGCGCTAGTTTCTAAAGAAACATATCAGGATGTAGACATTTCCAAGGACCTGACAGAAGAACAACAAATTGAGGTGAGAGAGCTCGTAAGTGAATTCAGGGATGTGCTGAGTGATTTACCAGGGAAGGTAGACTGTATGCAGTATAAGATCAAGTTGACATGCAATGAGCCTATAAGATCCAAACCATATCCGCTTCCACATCACATGAGGGACGTTGTCGCCAAAGAGATACAATCAATGTTAGATATGGGGGTGATAGAACCCTCTCACTCACCATATGCTTCCCCCATTGTACTTGTGAAGAAGGCTGATGAGACTTACAGATTTTGTACCGATTTTCGCAAGTTAAATCAGGTAACGGTCTTTGATGCAGAACCAATTCCATTAGCCGATTCCGTATTTGCAAGGCTTCGACACTGTAAGTACCTAACCAAAATTGATGTGAGCAAGGCATATTGGCAGATTCCAATGGAAGAGAGTAGCAAAGAACTGACGGCCTTTATATCCCTGATGGGTTATACCAATGGAAGGTGATGCCATTTGGAGTTGTCAACGCACCAGCAGTATTTTCCCGACTCATGAGGCAAGTATTACATAGCATAACACTGACAACTACATAGACGACATCATAGAAGGAACAGAGGAATGGTCACCTCATGTGGTAAGTCTGAGAGACATATTTACAAGGTTAAGACAATTTCATCTTACAGCCCGACCATCAAAGGTAAAAATAGGATAAAAACAGTTGGAGTTTTGGGGGCACAGGGTTGGGAGTGGCCTCATTCAGCCAGAGAGTAAGAATGTGGAGAAAATCCTAAATGTTGAACGACCACAAACTAAGAAACAGGTCAGAGCTTTGCTAGGATTAACGGGGTACTACCGGAAATTCATCCCAAATTATGCAGCCATAGCAGTGCCTCTGACTGATCTTACCAAGAAGGGCAAATCAAACAAGGTAGTATGGACAGAGAGTCAAGAGTTAGCTTTCACGACGTTGAAAACACACATGTCAAGTTTTCCAATCTTGAAACTGCCAGACTTGGAGAAAACATTCCTAGTAAGAAGTGATGCTTCTGACGTCGGAATCTGAGCTGTTCTTTTACAAGAACAGGAAGGTGAGCGGTTTCCAATACTGTATGTGAGTCGAAAGTTGGCAGAACGTGAGAGGGCGTACTCTACCATAGAAAAGGAGTGTTTGGCAATAGTATGGGCAATACAGAAGTTAGAAAGATATCTGTATGGGCGGGAGATCATTCTTGAAACGGACCATCAGCCCTTAGTATGGATGACCAAAGCCAAGTTGACCAATGGACGAGTGATGAGGTGGGCTCTAACTTTACAACCTTACAGGTTTCTGATCCGTGCAATCAAGGGGATTGAGAATGTGGGAGCTGACCTCTTGAGCCGGTGTTCGCCCTAGTCACACTGTGTGCATAGCAGTATCTAAATAATGCATTTTTCAGCATCATAGTGAAGATATGACCGTCATTACTTTTTGTGTATTATTGTTGTCATTGTGTATATATAAGGTTTTGTATTAGTTAATGACTTTAAAAGACGTTAGGACAAAGTTATATGTGATCCTGTTTGTTATATAATTGTGCTCAGATACAATTAACTTAAGTGGGGAGCTGATGTCAAGATCACAGATAATCTTGTATATTTTAATTATATGTTAGTACTTCAGATAGATGTATTACGATATGGTTACATTAGTATATTAAGCTTAGCGGGTTGTTTTTAGATATTGTCAGGTAATACTATGGGAACAGGTTAGGTTCAGGGAAGCGTGACTGGGAACGGCTGATAGCTGGGGAGTTAATTGGTGTAACAATAAGGAGGTAAGGGGTAGCTTGGGCTTTGGGGTCAGTTTAAATAGCGGGGCAGGGTAATAATTTGTACAGTCAGCCAGAATCAGCATGGTCAGGTAAGGCATAGACTAATATTGTGGGAGACTTCTATTCTGGTTGGCGTAAGTTTTTACATTTATTGTTTCATGTAGAATTGTATTTTAGAGGATAGAATTTTGAGTTATGTATTGTTTTCAAATGTAATTATATACACATATTGATGGTAATAGCGTAAAGCCACTGTAACAATAACCACAACATGATCAAAGTATAAATAGTTGAACTCAGTAATATGTGAATCGGAGTATTGGTGCATGGCTGTATGTATTGTGAGGTAGTGACACATACCTCAGTGACTGTAATTGCTTATATTATATTGCAGTGTCCTAGAACTGGCCGGTTAACCTTATAGTACGTAGGAGGGAAGAACCTCCGATATTACGTAGGAGGAAGTATCAACCTCAAACATCACTTAAGGAGAGAAGTTCTCCGACCCAACGTAAGGAGAGAAGTATCTCCGTTTCCGTGTGCACATCGTAGGATGAACACAGCCGTGGCATCCATGTAAACAGTCACCCTTAACTCCGTGGGGACAACATCGCCTGGGTGGAAAGATCACCATTCGTTATTACGAGGAAGAATTCTCGTGTGAACTGCTCAGTAACATCAGAGATTCCAAAGTTCTGTATAGAACTGTTGTGACAGTGACAGTGGAGTGGCTTTGTATTTTTGTGTGTTTTTTTGTGTGTGGTTGTGTGTTGTTGTTGTATGTATGTGCACACACAAAGTTTTACTGTGTATTAGTTGTGTTATTCTTAGAACATCTGTATTAGTGTTAGTATTGTTAGAAGTAGACTATTAGTATTAGGATAGTGTATCGTGATAGTTGTATTGTTAGTAGTAGATAGTTGTATTATTAGTAGTAGACATTTGTACTGTTAGTAGTAAGATATTAGTATTAGTAGTAGATGGTAGTATTGTTAGTTGTAGGAGAAGCTAGGTTAGTTAGTTGTGTTAGTTAATTTGGTATTAGTTTGAATTTAAAAATTATTATTGGGATTTAAAGTTACCTTAAGGGAGGGAATAAATCGTTATTACAACTTCATTTGTGTTTGTGGTTGATTCAATACGTGACAGGGTACGATTGACTTCACTTTGATTAATATTTGTACCTATCAGCTAAAACGTGCTGATGAAGCAGCAGTGCTTCTTTAATTCATGTCATTACTATTATTCATCATTGTGTTTTTTAAGCTCAAACGTTAAGGCAATCGATATATCTCAACTGATGTTGGTTTCGAGGTCATTGGTATCAGCGAGCCCTTTACATATTTTGCTTTGCTTGTGGCTGGAATATTGCCGAGTGCATTTACATAGTTTCTGTTACGTACCATGTATAGAAGACGTTCTTGTCATGAAATCTCCAATGTAGTCGTGCTTTTGTAAAGTATTAAGTATCATTAGACGTCCGCCATCACTCTCACAACGGGACTGGCTGTCTGCCCAGTTTATCCAGGGACTGGTGTAGAGCTTGTAACACAGGCGTGGCGACAGGACAAGGGTGTAGCCTTGAGACACAGGACATGAATCTGAAGACAGAAAGAGCCTTCAGTATTAGTTCTCATCCATGACAAATCATATCGCAGTCCGCAAACATTCGACTTGAAACAGAATACACCATGTCTGTAGTTCGTCATGGTTGGAGTATGTTCTTTCTGGCTAGAAAATTACATTTGCAATACAACAATAGATTTTTTATATCAGAAATAAATGGAAAATTCTGAGTCTGTTTAGGATGGACTGTTGATAAAGTTGGTTTCTAATTTGTTTCAACATAATCAGCTCCGAGGTCTACGGATTTTTGCCAATGATGCTTTAGTGCATGGATCCCACTGGTGACGAAGGCTTCCTTCTGATGGTATTTAACATCATCAAGGCAGAGCTGACGTCATCGTTATTTGCATAATGCTTGCCAGACAGTTATTTTTTCAAGTTTGGAAAGACAGGAAATCTGACGATGCCTCGGGGGGACGCTCAATAAGTTCAAAGCCACAGCCATACCAATGACAGACGTTCTGCATTGTCTTCGGGTAACAACACACCCTGAGTTTTCCACGACGTGTATGATATGTTCACGTCTTTAACTGCAGAATACCACAATATTGACCGTTAATGGCCTGACTTCCGTGGGAATTCACCAGTAGGATTCCTTTGTTATATTCTTCGGAGAGGTCAAATGTTTCCACTGCTTTGTCTGTTGGATATTCTCTGGCTGACAAAATTAAATGGATCCGCTTCAAAACAACATACATCCTCACAAGAGATAATAACGACCCCTGAGCGTTTCAGTTCAGGAGTCGGAAGCTTTCGCGCCCAGTCGTTATTCAGTGTAATTCAAGATGCATTATTCCGAACTAGTACAGTGTCATACAGTTACAATAATTGTTCAACGGCAAATGACACTGTCATATAACACTCTTCCCCCTTCGGAGAAAGAATGTTTGAACATTGTGAGAACTTTCTTTTCTGATAAGAGTACAAAAAGTACTAAGAACAGTCAATAAGAGTGAATATTATGCACGATAATTATGAGAAATGTTTACAAAAATGCAAATCATGATTGCAGTCAGAACTGATCATATTCAACCAACTCGAGACAATGCATCAGCAGTAATGTTGTCTTTTCCTTTGATATGCTTGACGGGCTGTCGAGCCTAGTGGTTAAAGCGTTCTCTCATCAGGCTGAAGACCAGGTCGATTCGCAACATGGGTACAATGTGTGAAGCTTTTTTCTGGTGTCCTCAGCATAATATTGCTAAGAGAGGCATAAGACCATACTCACTCACAGACATGCTTGATGTCTAAATCAAACTTTTGCAAAGACAGGCCCCAGCGCATTAGGCATTGTTTTTTGTTCTTGAAATGAAGAAACGTCAGTGGATTGTGATCATTGTACATTGGGTTGTTACAAAGCTAACAATAGAGTAAGAATTTTTTTTTTTTCAAATAATGGTTGAATAATGTCTCTGTTGTTTGTCAACTTTTTGTAAATAATATCAAACAGGATGATGAAAACCTGATGCATCTTCCTGCAACAGGACCGCTCCTGCACCAATGAATCTTTTTTTCCAAGGTTTTGTACTTAGAGAACTGTAGAATTCATAAGAATGACTTTAATGTTCTTTAGAGCAGCCTGACAATTACTGTCCCAAACAAATTTCACCTTTTGCCCAGCAAAATAGTGAGATGGGCTACCACCACATGTGAGAACGTTTTACAAAATGTACGGTAGTGACCAGCCATACCCAGAAACCTCATAAGTTCCTTTTTGTTTTGTGGAATTTGAAGTACCTTCCACTTTTGCTTGTATGGGCTGTATCTGATCTTGGCCTATGGCATGAGCTTCCAAGTTAGCTTAAACTTCATTGTCATTTCTTTCCTGATATAACTCACGCACTCTTTCATGATACTTTCTAATCATATTGAGACGACAAAGCTGTGTCTCTTTACGACGGTCTATTGTACGTACAACATAGTCAATATCACTGTCTGTCAATAACATACGGACCCTGGTACTAACAAGTCATGGTGGACTAGGGATTGGCTAAAACACTAAGATTTTATCGCCAGGACTGAAATTTCTCTTTGAGACTTCTTGTCCTAATGTACTTTCAAACTTCACAAACGAAAGCCTGGGCCGACATTATGAGACAAACTCCAACAAACCTCATTCAGGCCTATCACAAAGCCAATGCTCCTTCAAGTGCTTTAAACGTGCATGAAATGTACGGCCAAAGACAAGGTCAAAAGGACTGACACCTTGAGATTCTCTCACAGCATACAACACCAAATTAATGCCTTCATCCCAATCCTTCTCAGTCTCAAAACAGTAAGGTCATATTCTTAAGAGTCATGAAATCCCCCTAAAGAGTTATGCCTAACTTCTGCATAGCCTGTTGGAAAACACCTGATATACAATTAAAGCCCCGATCTGACCGAACAGTCGTAGGCAAATCAACCATGGTCAAAAACTTTACCGAAGCCTTGATATTAACCTGAGCTATAATTTCCCATGAAGGAAAATCCTCTGGAGACCTTCCGGAAGCACACATGATAGTAATCATGTACTGAGTTCATGGCTTAGTTTCAGGAAAAGGACCAACACAATCAATGATGACCCGGCTGAAAGGTTCTTCTCTTCAAATGCTGAAATGGGTTTCAAAGGTTGGGCTTGGATTTATTGATTTAGTTGGCCAACCATTTGACACACATCACATTTTTTTGCAATATTCAGCCACATCATGCTGCAAGTTAGGCCCAAAGGGGCAGAATGGTGCCATACGTTTTGTTTACACCAAAATGACCTGCCAAAGAAGATTAATTTGTCAAACCAAAAACCTTGCTTTCAATATAAATTTGGAATAAAAATTAGATGTAAAACCTTCCACTCGTTATCTGCTCCTAAACAGGTAAACTGTCAGAATGATGAGTACTCTGACTCGAAAATTAAGACAGATCAAGAGAATGATCCATAAACGTTCCAGCCAAATCATAACTGGAATCATTCTCAGAACAACTTTGCTTAGCCATAGCATGAGTAACAACACACGAAGGAAAAATACCTGGAATTTCTTTTTAAAGATTTACATTACTTTCCGAAGTGTTAGGCTCAAGACAAACAAAAGGATCAGCCAATATCTTCTGATAAATCGTTCCCTTTGAACAAGTCTACAACCCCTACCTTGACCAACCCAGACACAAATTCTGTCTTCAAATTCAGAAATTGGAGAGGCGCACTGGTAACACCACACAATCCCTCCAACAAAACCTCATAGTTCGCTGATGACTCCTCAGATGGGGGCAAAATACCACCCACAGTCAAAGTTAGAAGAGTACCAGCATCCCTCAAAACGGTAATGGGCCTAAGAATGGAACTGTCCCCTTTAGCTTTGTTTTTAGCTTTACTTACAAAAGGTAAGTACTCCAATCTCACCACAACAGACTTTGATGACTGTTCTCCAACAGCTTTCTCCCCTTTAGCTTTGTTTTTAGCTTTACTAACAAAAGGTAAGTACTCCTATCTCACAACAACGGACTTTGATGACTGTTCTACAACAGCTTACTTACCCCGTTAGCAGAACCACTAAAAGGCTGTCACCCGACAATCACAAAAGTATTCGGGAGGAATGACTGTTCTTGAAAGTGAGCTTTCTACACTCAGACATGATATGCTCTGGCTTGCTGCAGGTAAGGCATAAAATCCTTTCTGAGCTTTTCCCTTACACACTTTGCAATAACATTGTCCACTGATTTGAGGCCATTTCAAACTTAGTAGCCTTTTCAAAATGTGAGAAGATCACATTCAGAGGTGTGAGTGAGTGAATGAGTACGGTTTTACGCCGCTTTTAGCAATATTCCAGCAATATCACGGCGGGGGACACCAGAAATGGGCTTCACACATTGTACCCATGTCGGGAATCGAACCCGGGTCTTCGGCGTGACGAGTGAACGCTTTAACCACTAGGCTACCCGACTGCCCCCATTCAGAGGATAGTTGGTTGGAAATAAACCAAGGCTTGCTGTCAAAGGTGACTAAGCTTGTCGTAAAAGGCGACTAAGGAGATTGGGTGGTCAGGCTGGCTGACTTGGTTGATGCATGTGATCATATCCTAATTGTGTGGATCGATGCTCATGATATGAATCACTGAATTGTCTGGTCTAGACTCGATTATTTACAGACCGCCCGTGATATAGCTGGAATATTGCTGAGTGCGTTATTAAACAACAAAACAACCAAACAAACAACCTCTCAGCACGACGTCGCTTGCCACTTAAATGTCCACAGGAACACCAAATGTGACACTTATGGCGATGTTATCAACAGGACTGCCATGTCAGACACCATCCCTGTAGTGTCCTCCCACCTGTACTTTCGGACATTGTTCTTTCGATGTGATATAATTCAATCCACGGCAGTAAATGTTTTTGACCAATGCTTTTTGTTATTTGTGATACACTGTTTTTTGCATTGGAGTATATAAATAACAGCATTCAAAGCAAGGCCACCCCCCTGAAGACATAAAGTACCTGAACTTCCTGCACAAGCACCCTTGATTCATGACATCACTTCAGCTACTGCTGACTGTAGTAAAAATACAAGACAGCGTTGCAAAATAGTGTCATAACACCAGAAATGCGTTTCGAACCTTGTCCACATTGGAGGTTTCGCACATAATGAGCGAACGCTTTAACAGCACCCCACCGCCCCACACATACAAGGAATAGGATCGTATGTTGAAAAGCTAATGCATATAACATCTGACCTGCTTGCTTGTGGAATGTTGTTGCTCCGGGGAGAGAGGAACCAGGTGTTGATACGAAGGAGCTGTACTTGAAGCACTGGCCATCATGAAAAGTCACAGCAGAACACAGCTCGTCCTGTGAGCAGAGCACACAACATTTCAACCTAGACTGAATTGGTCTGATGTCTGATGGGGGCTCTATTGTCTGGAAACCGTCCAGTGTAGCCTCTCTTTCAAAGTCATGTTGGGTGTAAGAGTTTTCTGCCAACACGCTTGAAATGAAGACAGAGACAAGTAATAACACCTTCATTCTTCTGTCTAGATAGAGACAAGTAATAAAACCTTCATTCTTCTGTCTTGATAGAGACAAGTAATAACACCTTCATTCTTCTGTCTAGATAGAGACAAGTAATAACACCTTCATTCTTCTGTCTAGATAGAGACAAGTAATAACACCTTCATTCTTCTGTCTAGATAGAGACAAGTAAAAACACCTTCATTCTTCTGTCTAGATTCACATGACTGGTACTACAGATTCATACCCACAAATCTTACTTTAGTTTCTGTTGTTTTCATTCACCAATTGGAATAGTCCCTGTTGACAACTATAATAGAAATTGCCGGGAAGAAGATGCTCTTTAAATCTTTAATGAAACGTGGGACATAGTGCAGACTCGTACAGTCCCCGAGATGAGCAACACTGATTGGTTCAACTGATCGAACAGGATCACAAATCTTAAAGTGGAATAACAGGTTTCAGGTTCCAGAGCCCTATTGATTATTAAGTGGAGAACTAGTGAATGTGAAAATCAGACACTAGCAGCACTGTCTTTTGACGCGACACAACTAAAAGTAAAAACAATATCCAATTTTTTTTTCAGGTCGGTGTAATGTCCCCATGGGTGTTGTGCCAGTCTGACGGCGGATCTTTATCGAGCTGTGATCCTTTTGATCGTCTTTAAGCTCATTTCTACCCAACCGTGGGATACGCCGTAAAAATCACGGCAAGAACAAACATTCCTGTAAAGAATCAATAACCCAGATGAGATTATTAACCCAGTGTGTGTTTGTCAAATTTTCAGATTATCAGTTATAGCACTGAGTGAATAGAAAAAGGCAATCAGCGTTAAACGTAAAAAAACCCAGTTCCTCAGTAATAATATTGTACAATTCCCAATTTTATCACAAGCATGTATTTATAAAACCCTCTCTTTTCGTTTGAATATCAGGCGTTCGCGAAACATGAATGTATCCTGTCCCACTGGTACGTGATTTCCCGTTTGAAGTCGATACTCGCTGCTACGTTGACGAAAGGAAAGGAAACTATGCGAAAATCGGATTTAGTAGTATGTGGATTCGATAATGTTCCCAAATCATGTGACCCGTAAAGATTCCGGGGTAGAATAGGGCTTCAGCAACCCATACTTGTCGTAAAAGGCGACTAACGGGATTGGGTGGTCAGGCTCGCTGACTTGGTTGATACATGTCAACAATCCCAATTGCGTGGATCAATGCTCATGCTATCAATCACTGGATTGTCTGGTCCAGACTCGATTATTTACAGACCGCCGTCATATAGCTGGAATATTGCTGAGTGCGGCGTAAAACAACCAACCAACCAACGATGATAATGATAGTAATCACTGGATTGTCTGGTCCAGATTCGATTATTTACAGAACGCCGTCATATAGCTGAAATATAGTGCGGCGTTAAACAACAAAACCAACCAATCAACCAAAATCATGTACAACAAGTCATACAAGAGAGGCGGGGCCAATTTGACCAACGTTTGAAATGTACGTATCATTTTGCTGCCAGATTTACATTTGCTACGCAGATCATGAAATAAAAGAACATTCAAGTCACCATGAACATTCATGACAGGTGCGTAAATGTGTTCATCGTTTTTGTATGAAATATTAGTGAAAGATGTCACAGATACCATTACTCTTGAAATCGTGTATGACAAGTTTCAGATTTATCACATGGTCCATACGCACTTTAATGTTCGGTCAGAGGTAAATTGATTACCATAGTGGCAAATTAGCAATTATTTCAATGGTTCGATAATATAAATGCGTTATATTACCGACATTGATTCGTTAATGTACAGCTGCCATATCGGTGACGTAATGAGGTAATGAGTAGCAAAGTGAGTGAATGAGTGAATTGGGTTTAACGCCGCTTTTAACAGTATCCCAGTTATATCACGACGTGTCTGCATGTGGGAGGATTTGGACAGTGTGGGAGGAAAGCCCGAAGTGATGCAGGTCTAAGATATTAACAAAGGCAAGGAGATCCATTTTAAAATTCCACAGACCATTGAAGTTCCCCGTGTACGCTGTTACCCTGACTTCATCGATGCGCTGCATTGAATTGCTATCCGGTTTTTATTTATCAATGGATATAGGGAGTATAGTGTAAAGGTTGTAAGTATGACATGAAACCTAGAATTGCTTAACGTGTGGGTACACTCCTTTGAACCTTTTTATTTATATGTTTAGTTTAAGGAAATGATTCATGTAAGTATGTTTCCGTCACCTTCAGAATATAAAATAGTCAATTCATGTAAACTCAGGGTTATGAATTAATTCAAACACAGTCTGCTGGAATTGTATCAGTTGCCGTGAACAATACAATAATATGCAGGCTTTATATTGATACGAGGCTTGGTGAAAATGTTCTAAGCCTGACTTACTTTCAACTATGGGCTATAACAAAGTGATCTAGTGTGTGAGTAGTTCATTGCAAGTGTACTCGATCCGTTGAGGCTGTTTGTCTATTAGTGACAGCCAGTTGAATGTGATAGAGGTCCAGACGCAGAAATTGAAAAGAACGAGTACCGAGAGGGTCGTCACGTTTTTATCCCCCCGGCATACAATGCGGGGGGATAAAGCGATCAGCCAGTTTGTCTGTCTGCCCGTCTGTCCGTCCGTAATCATTTCCCTTTCCTGGGCAGAACTCGAAAACAATTCAGTGTATTTGATCGAAACTTGGCATGTCTATCAGTCACATACTCAAGTTGTGCCTTTTGCTATTTAGGAATTTCAGAATTGTTTTATCTTTCACGTTTCCATGGTAGCAAGTTTGACTTAGGTTCTATAAGGGTGGTGTTCGTTTCCCGAGCGTAACTCAAAAAAAGTTAAATACTTTCTTACACAACTTTGCACGTCTACCAGGCACATACTGAACTGGTGCCTTTTGCTATTTAGGAGTATTATATTTTTTTAATTTTTTTTATGTTTCCATGGTAACAAGTTGGACTTAGGTTCTATAAGGGTGGTGTTCATTTTCGGGTGTAACTCAAAAAGCGTTAAATACTTTCTTACAAGACTGTGCATGTATACCAGGCACATACTGAGCTGGTGCCTTTTGCTATTTAGGAATTTTTATTTTTTTTATTTTTTACGTTTCCATGGCAACCAGATGGATTTAAGTTTTCATATAGGGTGGGTTCACTTATGGAGTTTAACAAATAAACTGTTAAATATTTTCTTGCTAAACATTGCATGCCTATATATAAAGTACATACTGAATTGGTGCCATTTGATTTTAAGGGGTTTAAGAAATGTTTATTTTAGAATTTCAATTGCAGCAATTTTGACATGGCCTAAGAGACATGTTGGGTCAGTTACCTGGTTTGGGACCATAACGTGTTAAAATGGGCGGGGGATATAGCTGTCTTCGTAGACTATACGCTTGCTTAGTTATTGTTTCTTGTAATTTGTCATTTGTTTGCATACAAAAAAAACCCACAGAAACACAAATGTTTTACTTTGCATTTCATATGGATACGACTATGATGGATCTTTTGTTGGAAGAACATTCAACTCTTGACTCATTACGTACAGAATTGCACATTTACTTGTAGTTACTATACAGACAGCTGCCGGGGGGATACGTCATCTTTCTAATGACTTGTTTACTTTTGAGAAAAGTACTCCCCAAGAAATTCATGTTCGCATGTCACAAGTGTATGGGGATAAGTGCCTTAGCTTGTCCACTGTTAAACGTTTGGCAGCCACGTTTAAGGCTGGGAGAATAAGCCTTGATGAACGCCCTAGGTTTGGACGTCCCTCAACTTCCATCAATGACGATTCTATCAAGGAGATATTAAAGCTTACACTGTCAGACATATTACCATTGCTGAACTTGAGGAAGACACATGTCTAAGCCATGTATCCATTGGAATTATTATTCCTGAACATTAACAAATGAATACGATATCTGCTCGTTGGGTGTCAAAGTTTCTAAATTCTGATCTTAAGGAAAAGAGAACTGACATTGTCAGAGATAATTTAGAGCTTCTTGAGGTAGATTTTGTTAAATTCAAAAAGAGATTAGTAACGAGTTATAATTCATGGGTCCACCAGTATGATCCCCAGTCAAAACGGCAATTCATGGAACGGCACCATTCCACTTCTCCGGCATCGAAGAAATTCAAGTCTTCAAGATAAGTGACGAAAGTTATGACCACTGTATTCTGGGATGCAAAGGGTATCATGCTTGTTTATTACTTAGAACGTCAAAAAACGATTATCGGTGCCTACTATGCTGATTTGATTCATCGCCTGAGAGATTCTATCAAAGAAAGGCAGCGAGGAATGCTGACTGCTGGAGTTCTACTTTTTCATGACAATGCCTCTTCTCACACTTGCAAAGGCTTCAAGGCAACAATGGGGGTTGGAAGAGCGTCCTCACCCTCCATACTCGCTAGACCTGGCACCAAGTGATTTCTAGTTGCCTAAACTGAAAAACAACACCTTCGTGGAAAGCGGTATGACGACAACGATGACCTTAACGCTGACGTGATTGTTTTTTTTCAGGGAAGCTTCAGAAAAACCTTTACTATCGATATGAGCATTTTGAAAAGCAGTGAGAATATGTTGAAAAATAATGAAAAGGACTTTCACAATTTGTTTGAGTGTGTGTGTGAGTGTGTGTGTGTGTGTGAGTGTGCGTGAGTGCGTCATGGGTCTTCATATTCAGTTGAATACTATAAGAAGTCCATAGCTTCCATTCTCTCGAGCGTCTAAAGAAAAACATTTTTTTTAAACTTTCTGACAACAATAACAAACCTGATACCCACAATATCCGGGGGGAAACTACGTGTATTCTTATAAGAAGGATATGTCCGAATAGTTATAAATTGTCAATGCAAGAGATTAACAACCCTACATTTTCTGCCGAACAGTTTCCAATTGGCGTAAAGGGGAAATAAATAGCTTTGGAAATTCTATGAATGGACCACTGTGATGAAGCAGCGATGACACCAGGTGTTCGCGAGAAGGGTAAGCATGTCCTGCCCTACCGATAGTACCCGCCATTCATACAATTTGCATAATAAACTAAGTATTTATTGCCTGATACAGCACAGCAGTACGCCTGCCATGCGACGTCAGTCTGTAAACAAACCAGACAATCAAGTGATCGATGAACCAGAAAGTCCAGCTACAAGAGAGTACCATTACTGTTTTTGTTGTTTAATATCTATTCCTCCAGATTACAATTACCAGCGTGCTATTGTCTTTCCCGATTCTCCTTCGATCCGTGAATATCCGGGGTAGAATAGGTCTTCAGCAACCCATGCTTGCCGTAAAAGGCGACTATGCTTGTCGTAAGAGGCGACTAACGGGA